ATTGACCCACAACTATTCTTTAACATAGACTTTCTTTTCTACTGATCCATTGCACTTGCTTTTGCTTTTTTAGATAGGACATTCTGCTTTCATATGATTTAAACAAAAAAAAAAAAATGAAAATAGTTACCATGCCGTGCACAACTCCTGAAGCAACCAACCCAGTGATTTCCAGCACCATTGCTAAATTAAAAACATAAATGATTTATGAGATTAAAAAGTCTGGGTCTCGGGGGCTGGAAAGATGGCTCAGATGTTAAGAGCACTGGCTGTTCTTCCAGAGGTTCTGAGTTCAATTCCCAACAAGCACATGGTGGCTCCCAACTATCCATTATGAGATCTGGTGCCCTCTTCTAGTGTGCAGATATACATGGAAGCAAAATGTTATATACATAATAAATAAGTGAAATTTTTTTTTTAAAGTCTGGGTTTCAGAAAACGATTTGAAATTCTAGATGAAGATTTTCAGTCTGTCTCTACTAACTAAACTGAGTATTATACAGATGTTTGACAGTCACCTACACAATTAATGGCAGGATTAACAGGAATTCAGATATCTGAGATCCCAGTAGAGTTCTCCTCACAGAACATGACTTTATTATTTCAAATGCTGTAAGTCTGAGGTATGGTTGAAACACGGCATTTCACGGAAGGATTTTTGAAAAGAGATACAGGTTCAGAGTTTGAGGACACCAAACAAATCACTTATTTTCTCTGAATAAAAGATCCCTCAATTCCAAAATTAAGATGTAATAGGATGATGGCTTATCACCCACAATGTTGGAAGCACCCAGTGAGAGGAATAGAAATGATAACACTATTTGGAATACATGAAGAGATGAGGGATGTGTGTGTGTGTGTGTGTGTGTGTGTGTGTGTGTGTGTGTGTGTTTGTGTGTGTGTCTGTGTGTCTGTGTGTCTGTCTGTCTCTCTCTCTGTGTGTGCCTGTCTGTCTGGTGAGCATGTGGAAAGAGGACAGCTTACTGGGGTCAGTTCTGCCTTTCCATTGTGTAGGTTCCAAAGACTGACCAATGAAGCCATCTTGCCAATCCTCCACCTTATTTTTTGAGACAGTTTTTTCACTGAGCAGCTGGATAGCTGGCTGGTCAGCAAGCCCAAGTGACTGTCCTGTACCTACCTCTACAGCTCTGGGATCAAAGGTGATCACCATTGTGCTGGGATTTGAACTTAGGTACTTATTTTTGCTAAGTACTTTACCAACTTAATTGCTGCCCCAGCTCTTGATCAGAGGCATGTCTTGAACTCAGTTTTGTTTGCTAGCAGCACAGTCCAGTCATTTATTTATACTTTATAGAAGCTATTTCTGTCCTAAACACAAAGTGCTCTATAAGTTTAAACACTTAGAGGATAAAAAGAACAGCATCATGTTTGTACTAATGGTCTTTGACCTTTAGAGGTTACTTAGGATTTTGATACTTCAAGATTTAATATAAAAATCTTAATGGACAACTTTTATGTCTTTAGGGCCAATACAGATTTAAACCATTTCCATTTTTCATGTGTTGAGGTCAAGAAACAAAATCACTTCTCTATGGATGTTGGAACAAGAATAGCAATGCAGGATAGACAGGCCATACATTTCATTTAACATGGCATGTGGCCATGTAGGTTTAGCAGGGAATGCTACCGTTCTCATTCCTAGATGTCCCAAAACAATAGGCACTAATCTAGAGCAATGGCCATCCTTGTGCCTTAGTCAGTGGTACCATTATTTAAATTGAGCTCAGGGGTATTTCACCATAAAATTAGGAGCAATTAAGATGCTTAACTGATGAAAAAGTATTAGAGGCCAAGGATATCTTAGGAAGTATGGCAAGTTTCACAGATATTTTGATAGCTCTCCTCATGGTAAAGGTATAACACATGGGTTCCTTTGTAGACACTTTAAAATGAATGTGTGCCTTACAGACTAATGTTTTTTTATATAAGATAGTGTTGGCATATTTCTAAACTAGGTGAATTTCATCTGAGTGAAAGGCGCATTATTCTTTAAGAGTTAATCCCTTATACTGTATGATCAGAAATGGAGCCCCTGGCATTTTACCAAATTGGATAAAATCAACTCCAAGTTAACACATCATAATGTTTGTGTGTTGATCTGCATCTGAACTTAGGAGGCTCCATTTACTTCCTTGTATAGGAAGTCGTCTAATTGGAAGAGTGAAAGTTTGCCACTGTGCCTGAGTACTATTGTTCTCTTCAATCTTTCATCTGTAATAGGCTATGGTTGCTAACAGTGCACTTAGGGTCATTATTTTCAACTGTTTCTTGACACCTAACAATATTATTTTAAGCTCCAGCCAAGTAGATTTCCAATAATTATATAATGTCTCTCAGTAATGATCTGTTGCTTAAGCTACACATTCTATTTTACCTTTCAACACATACTTGAGAACCTCTCATTTACTAACTGTAATTGAGGCAAATTCAGCCTTGGCTAATTAGGGGCTCCTGGTACCCCCTCATATATGCTGTTCTTGATGACATACCAATAGAGTCAGGGTTCATTTTCATTTTTAATTAAAGTAATAAATATGTGCAACTTAAAAAACAGAATGTTTGAGGACATTACAATTCTTTTACAAGTAACAAGACCAAAGCTCTACTGGGGATGTACAAAAACGTGAAAAACTTCCTGACGAAAACACGATGCTTTGGAAGTAAACCTATAACCAAGTCAAATGCTTAGGTGTTGGAAAGAAAGAATGCCTAACAGGACAATTAAACGAGCATGCTGTGTGAATAGTGGCCTCCTTGGATCTGCTTTAGTTCTCTCTAGTAATTACTGCACTGTCTTCTGAAGTTCAGCAAATGAAGGTGAGTTACAGTAGAGAATGTCTTGGAGGTGGAAAAAAAAATCTACCTTTGCTTACTAACTGGCATAACAATGGTTAAGCTTTGCAACAAGTAGGTCACCAAGACAAAAACACTGAAGATCCTCAGAAAACAGCCTTCCCTTCCAACAATGACTATCTAAAGGGGACTATTTACAGGAAGGCTATAACTTATTTCTCCATTCCATATGTATGTGCTCTACTTAGGAAGAAATATAACAGAAATAACATCAACTCACCGTTCTTTTTCTGTTCAACATTTTTTGAAAATCACCACATAAGCAAAAAAGTAAAAGACAAGTTGGAAATGAAACATATGCCCATCAATTCAGAGCAATTCCAAATGGAAGCAGAAGTTGCTAATATGGTTTCAGTATTTTGTAAAAGAGCCAGCTGGATAGATGATAATTTTTCTACCCCTGCAGGGCATCAAAGCTTTTAGGAAATCATTTTTTTCACGCATATTAACACGTAGCTTATTAATACAGATGATACTTTTATTGTAAAATGGCCTAGAAACATAAAGTCAGAAAGATAAGGTTCACTTTGACCACCCAGTTGCACAGACAGCACACACTGACATGACAGACCATGGTGGAGATGATGACGTATTGGGACCTTCTGTAACTGCCACAGCTGAAGTGTCACCATGAAGCCCGTGAATTGCTGTTATGAAAACATTTGCAGTAACTTGCATAATTAAATGAAACTGCCAGAAAAGCAGTTCTAAAATGCAGAGAAGATGCATGGAAATGCATTTCAAAGAAGATTCTTAGATTCAGAATCATCACTGGAGCAAGTTGTGCAGTTATGTCCCCAGTGCGATACCATTTTCTTTGAACAGAGTGGTCATAGGTCCGAGTGAATGACAACACTCTTATTGAAGTTGAGCGCTTTCTTGGTTACCTTTATAGAAACTTGATCAGGTATCTAAAACTAACATCCATGCCTAGTTGTTATGCTTAAATGAAGACTTTAGTATTGACAAAAATCAACCCACCTGTTTTTTCATGCACTTTTAAATCAACATAAAAGTATTCAATGTCCTGTGGCCATGGAAGCTACTTACATCAAACAACTTTTCTATATACATTTCTTCATTGACCTTGTCTCGAAGAATATCCTGGTTTTGCCGAACGAACATGATGTAGGTGTCTGCCAGGTCCATTCCTGGTTTCTGTTGTATGAGGAAAGCATGGGGAATAAAGAAGAATGTCAGTTCTCATCTCTGGAGCTTTAATTTAGTAATATTTTGGAAAAAAACTTTAATAGCCATTGAAATTGTCCACCCCGTGACGTATGTTTATACCAAATCAACAATGAGTAGCATGTCAACGTCTATCATGGATCTTTACTACTTAAAGTCACATCCATTATTGTTAGGATAATTAGGGATACAGGATACACGGCTAAAAAAGATTTATTTTATTCTTAATTATTTGTAAGTGTATATCTGAATGTGGGCAGGGGTATGTACTCATACACATACACAGCGCCAGAAGTATTGAATGATTCTGTTCCTGGAGATTACAAGCAACTGTGAGCTGCCCAATATGGGTCCTCTGAAGGGTACATGCGACTCTTAACAGCTGAGCCATTTCTCCATGTCTTTTTTAAAAAAATGAATATCTTGAAAAGTCAATGTGCCAAGAAGTATAAAAGAGGAGATTAAAAGAAAATTTCTCAATGGATATATTATGACCTAACTGTAAGCGTTACACAACTGACTTTTCATCACCTCCTATTTGCTCATCAATGGTATGAAAACCATTAACTGTCCTTGATTTGCCTCTTTAGAGTACTGTGAGTATTCATGGGATACAAAACCAGTGTTCTTATTAAGGTTAGTAAAATACTAGGAAACTTGGGAAGACATTTAATACGAAGTAAAACTTTTTTTTTATTGTCTATTGCTTCTACTCATTATTTACCACTACTCTCTTATGTATTTATTATATTACAGAAGTGCAGTGAGAACAACAATAGACTCATTTCTTATGTATGGCCAAAGTGGTGAACTAGCTAACTTGCTAAATTATCATCTAGCATTTGGTATTTTCTCCCATTAGAGGAGGCAGGGTAGTTAGTCTCATTCTTTTGCTGCCTGGGAACACAGTGCTAAGTCAATAGTGTAGGAAGCAAGAATCATCAAGAGTCATTCAGTAAACACAACATCCTCCGGCACTTTGACTTAGAGCAGTGGTTCTCAACCTCCCTAATGCCTCGACCCTTTAATACAGTTCCTCATGTTGTGGTGACCCCAATAATAGATTATCACATTGCTACTTCATAGCTGTAATTTTGCTACTGTTGTGAATCTTAATGTAAATATCTGATAAGTGATAAGTTATGACATATAGGTTGAGAACCGCTGCTGTGGACTTTAAAAAAGAAGAAAAATCAGTATGAGGCTTACAAGTCTTCATGGCTGCCAAAGAGATTTCCTTCTCAACTTATTGTCAGCTCTTTCTCAAGTTTCATATGCTAGGCTGACTGATGGAAAAAATTATTTACATTACTTACATCTGGGGTTGACTCATAACCTGTATTGAGTTATTTGATTAGAGTATAACATTAATAAGAACTTAACAGTAGAATTGATAGCCAAGTAAGATAGTTAGGCTTACCCTATCACATGGACATAGGATGTGCTTATAGTCTTTAGTAACAGACTGATTTGCAAAAGTGAGTACCGAAAGAAAATCAGATCAAAGAGAACATAACTATTTAACTATTTACTACGTCTGCAAAAGTAGCACAAGTTATAGACCTGACTGATGCCAACATGGTGGAGCATCTTGTGAGGGACAGAAAGTCCTTGACACTTTATGCTTTTTTTCAGGAGGGTGGATTAGTATTTTATTTGCCATAATGCGTGCCTATTTCCAAACTATTGCATTTATAGGTACCAAGGTATTTTATTTCAGTGATAAACATAAGGTTTTTGGTTAGGTACTTATTTTTCTATGCAGTAAAAAAAAAAAAATAATGCTTTTGTTTTGGAGATAGGGTATCCTGTGGCCTGGGTGGCCTTGAACTTACAATGTAGAGGAGGATGACTTTTGACTCTGATCCTCTTTGCCTCCATTTTCCAAGTTCTTGAATTACCATTGTGCAACACCATGCCAGTTTATAAGGTGCTGGCAATAGAATATATGGTTTTGTGCATGCCAGACAAATATCTTTTAACTGAACTATACCTCCAGCCTCGATAACCTAAATTTACCTTTAAGTATAGATGACAAAAACTCAGGAATTTTTTTGTTGTTGTTGTTGAAACAGGGCTTCTCTATGTAGCCTTGACTGTCCTGGAACTTGCTTTGTAGCCCAGGCAGGCCTTGAACTCACAGAGATCTGCCTGCCTCTGCCTCCCAGGTGCTAGGATTAAAGGCGTGTGCCACCACCTCCAGGCTAAACTCATGAATTTTTACAAAATAACCCTGATATAATTAAATTTTGTTAACATATAAAATAGCTATTTATACAAATGTTCTCACAAGTGTCTCATTTAAAAGCATTCATATGTAATATTAATAGGCAATACATTTTGCCAACCTAGTAGAGGTAATCTAACAAATCTATTCCTTGTTTTTCTGCATAATCCTCATAATCCGTGTTTGGAAGTTTAAGTAACCAAAAAGGTAATGAATGAAAGAAAAGTTGCTTTTATTTTGGGGAAGTGAAGTTTACACATGTGAAAAGGTAGGGTTATTTGTACAAAGATCACCAGTCCTGATTCTACCCAGGCCAATAACCCATACGGAAAGTATTATTCTCTGTGCCTCTCCAACTTTGTCAAAACACTGAAAATGAAACAGTCAGAAAGCATGATGCCCTGGAATGAAAACGACACGAGGCCAACTTTCTTTACTCGCTACAGAGGTAGCTAGCGGCACAGCATCTGAGTTTCACACAGGTGCCTGCAAATAAGAAGCTATGACACCCATAATAGCAAGGTATTGGGCACAGTCCGGCTACACCAGAGTTGAAAGGGAGGCTTGTCTTCCCATCATTTCTCCCTACCCAAACCTTGTCTATTTCCATCTCTCAAAAGAAAACTCTGCTTAGAAGTTTAATCCAATCAATCACTTCCCCCAACAGAGTCAATGGAAAGCAAGTCACTGTTGGGACCAGTGGAGAGCAGTGGCTCGTCTATTTCCTTTTATAGACACTCCTGCATTCTTCATCACTTCCAACCTAACAACTGACTTCATAGAACATTGTCCAGGAATCGTTTTCCTTTCACCATCTGAAACCAACAAACACTCTGCAGCTTCAACATAAAAGAAACCTAAATTTCCGTTCCCCCTGGCAGACTCCAGCAATGTAATACTCAAAGCTGAGTGCTGAAGTGAGTTCTGCAACTTTGTAAGTGTGTTGGGTAAGGCTTGTAAGTAGGGAGTCTGCAGTTTCCCAATCACATTTTCTTCTCTTTTGGCAAATTCTGATGTTCTTGCTTGGAAAATAAAGCCTAGACTTCTTAACATTCCTCATTAGCATTATTTCCTTCCTTTATCTTGGCGCTGTTTACCGATTCTTGAAACTGTGACATATGGGAATTTCACACCTTCTGAATGTATTTTCATGCAAGAATATACACAAGTAAGAGTAACCGCAATACCTGGTGACATGTTCCAATTAGAGTTATAGTTCTTTAAGACACTTTATCCTTCATTTGGTGTGCGAGAGGGTAATTATCTCTGATAAATTGCTGAAAAAGATGCAATTTTCCTTTTAAACAGCTTCTACCTTCAGTCCAAATGTGTTTGGATAGAAGACATTATCACTGGCTCAGTGCTCTTTTGTGCCAAGGCTCTTGTTATGTGGCGGTGGAATTTACACATTTAAAAAGCCACTGCTTCTAGTTGCAGTATTAACTGTTACCTGATGAGCTGGTGCTTTAGTGATCCTGCAAGCTAAGCACTGTGATGTTAGCTTTCTGTGTGTGCTTTGAATGTTTGGGACTGCACTGTGCAGTCCGAACTCCGGTAAAAGCAGGTATGCCTTGCAATCACACCAGAAGAACACCTTGTGAAACTTCAGTAATGATGGGCTTCCATGCCTTTTTATGAAGAATACTGTATCCAACAGAGCCATGTTTAGAAGTCTTTTCTGTATTGGTAATTAAATTATAGCCTTCTTAATGAATATGAGAAAATAACTATTACAAACCACATAGCGAGCACTCTATTAAATACAATCAAGGAACAGAATTTTTTTTTTTCAAATTTTCAATTTAAGCCTCTGAAACCCTCAGTTCATTACATAAACTTTTCCAGCTTGCTTACTGGGCTAGTTGTCTCCAAATATAAAGAATTCCTAAATTACTTTTAATCTTCTGACCAGCAAAGGAAAAACTTTGGCCAACAAAGCTATAGTAAAGAGACATAAGGTACATAAAAAAAAAATTCCTTCCCAATGAGCATAAAGAAACCAGTAGCCACTCAAGGAAAATGAAATATTTTAAGATGAGTTCTTCTGACAATGGTTGTATAAGTAACTGAATACACGAGGGAGTGAGTGAGTAAGACTGCAGACTCTGGCATGTTTTTTTTTTTTTTTTCCTTCCAAGCATTAATTACTAGTTAACCCAGCAAGATGAACATACCACTTAAAAAGAGAGAAAAAAATTCCTTGCTAATTATATGCTGCAAACGCTCTTACTTCCTGCTGCTCTACCTAATCACACAGGTGTGAGTTTTCACTTCCCCATTCATGGGTAGGTGGGTATGACATGGCAGTCATTTTTCACAGTGACAGATTTAGATACAGAAGAAGCTGCTTAACCTTCCACTGGAGGTTAACAATACACTACACAAACACTGTCATGGTGTCTGTTTAACAAGGAGACACATTTTTAGATATACCATTCCTGTCTCAAAGATTAACTAGAAGATACAGTGTAATTGACTTAATTTAAAAGTGCACTTCTTAGATCCCAAGGGGAAAAAAAAGAAAAGAAAGAAAACTTGTGTTGGAGAAACAACCAAGTGTGAAACTACGCTATTCTCTATCCTCGGATATGATGGCTGGTATGTTTTGCAAGTGAAATGCCCACATTTGGTCGTATATTACCACGGATGAAGCAAAAGGCGTGAGATAAGAACATGGCTTGGGAATCTGAGAGTGTGGCAGGAACCCAGGAACCTTTTTGTAGCCTAGCTCTGGCATTCAAGG